CTTGAACTTAAATAATAACAACACGCAGCGTCGAACCTTTAAATCACATTTTTTTTTCTTTATAGATTTTTTTTCTTCCTAGTCTCATAAATTCCTCTTTAAGTTCCGAAAATCAAACATTTTCGTGTTCAAAATGGGGATCGGTTACTGACCAAAACGACATCGGCGAATCGGCACGGACCGACTTTCCCCCAGCTGTAATTTTTTGGGGGACTGACTGAAATTTCTCTTTTGGGTGTCACTCCCACATCCCCCACCCAATGTATGTATATATACACATATGCATATATATATATATATATATATAATATATATATATATATATATATATATTATATATGTATATATATATATATATATATATATATATATATATATATATATATATATTCATATATGTATATATATATATATATATATATATATATATATATATATATATATATATATATATATATATATATATATATTTACACATATTTAGTGTACATCAGTATGTTCAGTATAGTTTTTTTAATAGAAAAGTGTATTTTTCTGTGTAATCATCAATATCTCAGGTCATTCATCGAAACAAAATGCAATCTGCGTTATTCAGGAACTAACAATATATCAACACTGACAATGCTAATATCCTAGTGTCAATTTTACGTCACCATACATTTTGCAATTCAAAGTAATCACAAATTCAGAAGGAAGAAAACGGCAAGAAAAATTTTGTTTGATTTTTTTTTTACATGATAATAAAATAGAAAATATTGAAAGATATAACATTTAAACATAATTTAAACGCAAGCAAATGACAAAGTATTAAGGAATCTCCACTGATCTAAAAAACAAGACTGGATCGAGTTTCTATTGTCAGGAGCTTGAAGCCATGGCGATTTCACGGCGCACAGCGGTCCAGAATCGCCCAAACCAGGTCAAGACTCTACGTAAAAGGCATCTCAGTTGCAACTAAACAAGTATATGTTTCATAAGTATGTACCATCTTTACATTGGTTTATGGCCCACTTTAACTCACAAGTAATATAATCTAAATAAGTGATATTGGAAAATATGTATTATCATATAGGGAAACTCGATTTTTGACCAGGAATTCGTGATTCTGGATATTCATATTGGAGGGCCTTAACAGGTGACTTTAGTGGGTCATACAGTATTTTGTCTTTTGTATTTTTGGAGATTCTGATTCATGCAAGTTCACAGCTCGGAAGAGGGAAAACGTTTTCAAGCATCACGCTATCAAATCGCTTCATGTTGGGCATCAGCAAACTCCTAGGCAGCTCTGTTATTAAAGTAAAGGGGGCATCCAGGCCTTGAATTGTAAAGTAGGCCTATTTGAGCAAACTTGGATGCGGATAAACAGAAAAACGGCACAAATTGATATCAAAGTTGCACGATTCTTTACCGGTATCTTTATCGGGCGACAACAATGCTTAAATGATAGTCTTCATGGAAATAGCTACAAATCGTGATATTATTACATATCTATCAAAATGTTAAAAAGCTGCCAAATTTGTCAAGCTGCATACAATGGACCAGAGAAAGGTTTGTCCTTATTTAAACTATAATATTTAGTTTATTTAAAA